ATATGTTTGCCTTAATGTAGCACGCAGGCAGATACAGTGAAATCCTCAGCACTGGGGTGCGTTTTACAGCTGATTCCTGTGAGCTGACGGTTTTTTGGGCCTGAATTCAGCACACGGCTGGCCAGAACCAGAGCCAATCACACCACTACTCTCTCAAGAGCAGTAAGAATTTACCGCAGCTCATCTTTCAGCCCGCTCTACGAGTGGGTGGATGTCTAGCAGCAGCTTTCCTCCAAAGTCTTCCCCACTTGGATGGCATGGGAAAAACTGGGCTTTCCCCAATTGTCCTAAAATGAGTTTACTGACATTCGGAACAGCAGCAGTTATAATCTATCAGCTCCATACCATTTTAAATAGAGAAGAAATGGAGACGTGTCATATGTTTGAGCTTTTTTTATTTTCCTTACAGGGTTGTAGTTCAACAATGCAGAAGTTGATCAGGTCTGCAAAGCCACTGGAAAGTCTCTCCTGCCTTACTTCATGCTATTATTCCATGAGGTTTGTTTGTTTGTCTTTAGGGAATTAGTTTGAGCTTAGACCCACCGTAAATTGTGTTAAATACTGGCAGACATGTATTCGGAGTGAAAATGGAAGCACCCCCCGTTGTTTTACTGTAAAGGGCTCGATTTAAGTTTGGCAGTGGGCGACTGGAGTTTGACTGGCAGAGGCAGTTTGTCTGGCTCTAATGGGCTGGGTGATTAGCTGAACAACAAATGGACTGTAACCCATGAACATGTCTTATTCAGCTCATAATTGACAGTTGTAAACAGCTCTTTTTATGGTAGACTCTAAATGAGAAGCTAGCTGGAAGCCGTCATGCAGTCATGATAAATGGCACAGGAAATCTTTCAGCTGCTCGGATAGATTTCAGTTATCTGTACTAATCTATACTTTTTAATTAACATTGATTATGTGTAGCACTAATGTGGTTGTTTCCACCAATACTGACTAACAGTAAAGGGGTCATGATATATTGTTATTTCATACGTCAGTGCTGTCTGTGTCTCCTTATGCGTTCCCAGAATCCAGTGTTGACACTAATCTTGAAATTAAAATAATTCACTATAATTAAGGTGACACAATAGAACAAGAATCTTCATAAAAATTATTTTCCAGACTTTGCAGTAAACCACGTCCACATTACACGGGTACAGGGAGGCACACTTCAGACCTGAGTGCAGCTCCCTGCTAAAGCAGAGCATAATAACATAAGAGGCCCTAAAATTGCACTGTATGGGATGGAGATTTGGCCCCTATCCCAACATCCTGATAAAATAAATGTTGCCCGCTGACAGACAGTTTGGCTGACCCAGTTTTGATAAATTCCCAAATGTAAATTAAACCATAGGGCCATAATTGTGAGTGGAAGGAGGGTGAACAGTTTTGTCGAGTGGACGATGGTGAGTTATTTCCTGCATCTTCTTAGATACGGTTGTTTCCTCTCTTTTTTTTTTAGTAGGTCGGCTCGTGTTGGTTCTGCCACCCAGACCTCAGAGTGCTTCTCACCTCGGCAGTGGTCAGGGAGCAGCCTTTCCTGCACATTCCTGCGGTTGTGGAAGATAATTGCTGTGGTTTATGAGAGGGAGAGGCCCAGAAGAAACACTTCCACCAGACCTCGGTTGCATTCGTTTTTACTTCTCTCGAAACTGGGTCCGTCTCTTCCACACTGTGGCTCCCTATCTGCAGCTCGATACCATTCAACTGTTCTCTTAGGGCAAACGTATATGTACGTAGGAAATAGACTGTGAGAGTGCTGTACAGACGCCAGCAGTCTCATTGAACACTTCAGAGTTTCTCTTTAGCTAAATCTTTCTTCCTTGGCTCTCTTTTCCCATAATGGCTTACATTTAAATTCTAATCACTGTGCTTTGAAGGCAGCTCATTGTCTGCCAACATCTCATTACGTGACATACATGCAAAGAGACTTAGCAATGTTATTGTTGAACTTTGTGTGAGGTATTATAGAGCTGCTCATGATTACTTGTATCGAGGCCCACATTTTTGGCCCCAGATCAGTGCTTGAAGTAGGGGGTGTCCTGTACATACTCACCACTCACATGCTCTTCTTATTAACCCTCTTCCGAAGTTATTGATGACTGTCTGTTGTTAACCTTAAAAACAATTCCCATGTTCTGGATACAAGGTCCCAGCTTTTTCGGAAAAAAGCTGGGAAAGTTTGCCCTAGTATAATGATTTAATCTAACTTTAAATACCTGGACTGCAACTCACAGGTAACTTTCCATTTTCCGGAGCAGTTTCACGACTAATTTAATCAGAAGTGTGTGGAAATCAGTTCTATTTGAAGTTCACAAAGGGCGATTACTCTCAGAGTTATTAGATGTTTCCTTTAAACCAGACTCTTAAGGTTGCAGTTTCTCATAATGAAAGGTAATTGTATTTCTTTCAAACAGTTGCAGTATCAGTTTACTTAACTGTTCACGGGGTATCATCAGCTTATGTGGTTTCTCATGCTCAAAGTTGAGTTGTACATAAATGGCAGCAAGAATAATTTCTTATAATGAATCTAAAAGAAAGGTTACTGTGTGGTTCCTGGCGAGGTTCGTCAGTCATATCGTTTCTTTAGCTTAACTAATGCTCATTGAATTAAATCAACATTTTATATAGACATTTGTTTATATTTCACAAGCTTAAGTACAAAAAACCCAGATTCTATCGACAATATATTTTAATGATGTCTTAAAGGGCCCGTGTCATGCGTTTCCGGTTATTACCCGTCCCCTTGTGTGTTATGAAGGTTTTTATGCATTTAAATGGTCTGCAGAGTAAAAAAACCTCAAAGTACACCCTGTAGCGAGTAAAACTCTAACACAGAAAAGACCTGTCTATGCTGCCCCAGAACGCCTCGTTGGAGATTTTCCTTTTTCCATTGTTTGCTTCCTGGGTTCTGTGACGTGTCAACACCCAAATCAACAACAAATGACCGGATTGGACCAAATGGACCAATCCACGGAGCTCCTCACACACCAGGATCCCTTGGCTGGTAAACGCTGGTAATAGACGAGTTGGGATCGCGGAGAAATGCTCTCCGCAGACCCATTCTCACAGCGTTATAAACCTTTTTCTTACTCAATATCAAGCCACACTTATTGTTTTTATTTCAGCTGTGAGTGTTTGTGTGTGCTCAGGATGAGTTTCGCTTGTTCTCGCTGTATCGCCGACCCGGAAACCTGTCCGCTCCTCGCAGCAACGAGCCTCGCAACAAGCCTCGCAACGTCCAGACCAATCAGAGCACACTGGGCTCACAGGGAGGGGGGGGGCAGGAGCTCCAACAAGCCGTTTAGGACAGAGAGTGAATACCTGGTGAATACACATACTTTACAGAGATGCTGTATGAGAAACCAATGCGATTTGGAATTCTAGTATACCTCAACAATGGAAATATGATCAGTAGAAATGGCCATGGGACCTTTAAATAACATGTGAGAAAAATCTAAGAGTCATTTGATTTTGTGGTTGCCTTTAGGGAACGATCAACAAAGTCTCATCTATCAGCAGCTGAACATCCATGTTGTGTAATGACACTTTAAAAAGCCTCATTAAAGCCACCTATCTTTTCTCACCCCTGTTTTCAATTGGACATTCCTCAAACCCTCACCAGATACTGTACACAGGTGCACACAGGAGATAGAAGTCATTGTTGTGATGATACCGCAGGTCAGCCATCGGCTTCCAGTTTGAAAAGAAGCGTGTCGCGCATTACTCATTCAGCAAAATCACAGCTGTGTGTGTCTGTGTTTAAAGAATTACCGTGACTAGTTATTTTAATCACTTTTCACAAAGTTAGATAATTTTTTCTACAAACCATAGGAATCATTGGAGCAGCTGTACGTCATGTCATTACTGCTGTCACTCGTCTGTCAGCAGTAGTCCCTTACAAAGAGGGGGGGGAGTCACAGGAGAGGGTGACACTCTGGCCCTCGCTGACTGAGGAGGTTAATCATGTTTTCATAAACACACTCTGATGTGGTCTGCTTTGATTCGCCATGTTGTCCAAGCCGCTGACTTGCTGTGACGCCCGGCTCTGAGCTCACAGCAGGAGAGGACTGTGAGGAATGCTCTGGCCTGACATGTTGTGAGTAATTAACCCTGATTGATAAAAGATGAACTGCCCCTGCTGCTGCAGCACACACACACACACACACACACACACACACACACACACACACACACACACACACACACACACACCAAACACAGACACACACACTCTCAGACACAGANCTCACTGTTTTCTGTTCATACTAATTACTTTTTTTGAGTTGCTCCCGATGGCATGGCCAACGGTGTGTGAATGTGTTTGCATGTTAGTTCCTAGAGTAAGGTACACTGCTCTGTATGAATATGGGTGAATGACATGTAGTATGTAAAGCGCTTTGAGGGGTCGTAAAGACTGGATAAAGCGTTATATTAGCACAGTCCATTTACCATTTTACCATTTTCTATTCCCACATAAATATTGGAATATTATTTGGCACCCTGCTTATTTATTTTTTTATCAAACCGTGTCTTCCCAATCAATTTACATGCCACATTTCCATTGTCAACAGTCAACCAGTTGTAGTGCAGATGTGGCAGCTGTTCAGACGTATTAAATTATCTCTGAAGGTTTTATCACCACTGACATGATGTTGATGGTGTTTCAGACCCACTACTCCCCTCTCTGATAGTTTTCTCTCTACTTCAATTTTTTTGTCCGATAATTATTTTATTTGGCTGCTGAAATATTGAACACTGTTCTTGTTTATTATAACCCGGTCTTTATCTGATTCTGATTGTAGTCACTTTTAAGTGCGTGGTATTCTTCATTATTTCAGTACAGAATAGTATGCTCCCCATGAGCTTTTAAATGTCTATTCATTCGCCCAGCGACACACATGGTTCTTATCAAACCTCTCAAGACGTTTTAGACAGGAAAAGCTTTTATTAGAAAATAATGATACCATTTGATAGTTGTTCGTTCAAGGGCTGGCTCAGCCTTTGTGTTGTGTTGATCCATTTATTTAAGCATGAAGTTTACAATTGAAATTCAGTGGATTCTTTGTTTAATGATTGGTTTTAGGGCCACATTGTGATATCTGTGTTAACTTAATTTGTTCTCTTTATGCAGTTTCGTCTGGTGGTGAAGACAGCCCTAAAACTGCTGCTGGTGTTTGTGGAGTACACCGAGTCTAACGCCGCCCTGCTCATAAAGGCTGTTAATGCTGTGGATGCCAAAAGAGGTACGTTTACAGAAATGTTGGGATGTTAAAGCCAAAATCAGCAGACAGGGGAAACTGTCAAATGTTCTGTGGATATTACATCCAAAGATTTTTATTTGAATGTGGTTTTTCCACCTAAGAGGACATAGTTTACATATCACTGAAACATCACATCTGCATTATGAAAGCTGTTATTATCTGCTGTTCAAATTCTCAAGTGAAGTGAGATATTTCATTTATTATTTGAATAGTCTAAACGTGAAAAAGAAAATTCACATTAAGGGCTAATATTTAAATTAATTCCACGTATCAAGTCATCCATGGTGGCTGTATTGCTGTTCAGCTGACTGCAGATCACAGTCTACTGTTACACCGTTTTCAGATCAGTTGTCCTGTACAGCTCCAGAGCTATGCATGGAACGAGGCTTATTGAGAAAGATTGTAACTTCTGTCTGCAGCGGGGTTCAGTTACCTGCCGCTCTGAAGGCTCCACATTGTACTGTGAGAGGAGGCTGATCATTGGCTGTGCTGGAGTCAGGTATCCCTCTGTCTCAGCTCTTATCCCGTCACTTCTGCTGTTGCATAAGAAGACTGAACCTGATCCTCAGTCTCCTGATAAGATGGACTTGACTCTTGTGTCTGACACTCACAGCCGGAGATCGAATCGCCCCCGCTCTATTTTTCCTCAGAACGCTTTTATTGAGGCTATTGCAGACCATTTTGACTGCGTTTCTCTTTCTGGAGCCATGGGATGACAGCATTGTTTTTGTTTGGATTCCGGCTCCCTGTTGCAACTTCAAGGTTGCAATGTTTTTTATTTCTTAAAACTAGCCGATGGATTAGTTACGACTTTATTATTAATACAGGTATCTTTGTCATCAAGTGCGTCTTGAGTTTGTCTTGTGATACACAATGTGTTGCATGCCTTTTCTCTGCTGCAGGAACAAAACTGTGGTCAAACATCATGGAAATCCTGGAGGAGAAGGATGGAGTGGATACAGAGCTGCTGGTGTATGCGATGACACTCATCAATAAGGTAAGAAAACTACCTACAGTTCTTAGGTTCTTAGAACTATTGACTGTGCAGTATCATGAATATAATGAACCTGCCCAGTTGTATAGTGCACAGAGATATAGTTACACTGGAGACCAACCCAATATGAATGAAGTTTATTTGGATAGCATATCTGGCTACTGATTCCATTTAAATGTTTTCAAGGTTTGAACAAAACAAAAGTAATTGTACTCCCTTTCTGTCTCTCAGCCGATCCTTCTTTATTGTTTCAATTCACTTTCACAGTTAACCCAAGATATTGCAGAGCCAAGGTTATATCTTGTAAATGTTTTATTGAATGTGTTTCAGACGCTGGCAGGCCTGCCAGATCAGGACTCGTACTACGACATGGTGGACTGTCTGGAGGAGCAGGGTGTCGAAGCGGTGGCCCAGAGACACCTGAGCAGGAAGGGCACGGACCTCGACCTCGTAGAACAGTTCAACATCTACGAGGTCAGGAAGCCTAAACCGCCAAATGTTTCCATAACAACTAGCCTTAATGTAATATTAAAGATCATGTGTGTCATGGGTCACAGGGCTGCTGTTTGATTTATTTAGTTTATTTAATCTCTTTGTTTTGTTTCTGTTCTGATTGTATGTAAAGCGTCTTTGAGCATTAGGAAAAGCGCTGTAAAAATCCCATGTATTATTATTATTATCAGAGGTGGGAAGTAGTGGAGTACAAATAATTTGTTACTGTACTTAAGTACATTTTTCTGTTATCAATACTTTACTCCACTACTTATTTTTCTGACGACTTTTTACTTTTACTTCTTACATTTTTAACACAAACACCTGTACTTTCTACTTCTTACATTTTCAAAACAGGTTTGTTACTTTAGCTTTAACCTGCATTTGGTGGCGTGATCATTATTATTTAGAGTCATTGCGTGCCTATTGATTTGAACATGATCCATGTATCCATCACTTCCTGGTCTTCTCTAAAGAAGAGGGACCAATGAGAACTTTGTCATGTTGCCGTCGTTCAGCATCGAAACATTCATTAGCTAACAATGACATTATTGTTCTATTAATACAAAGGGAGGTCAGTTACTTTTTAAAACAGTTGGTAGTTATGGGTGCTTTTTACTTAAGTACATTTCAAAGCCCGTAGTTCTTTACTTTTACTTGAGTAAAGAAGTTTAGTCAGTACTTCTACTTTACCAGAGTATTTTTAAACACGATGTATCTGTACTTCTACTTGAGTAAAGGACGTGTGTACTTTTGCCATCTCTTATTATTATTATTATTATTTGCTCAGTTTTTTTTGTGATGCTTTCTATCCAGATCACTCTCCGCCACGAGGACGGAGACGAGGAAACCCAACTGCCTCCCAGCGTCCGCAAGGAGCGCCGGCGGGCCAGTGTCGGGGGAACCAATGAGAAGCGAGGCCTGGAGAGAAGACGCAGCCGGAGACATTCGCTCCAAAACAGCAGAGGCCACGCTTCCGCCCCAGCATCTCCCAGCAGCCCTCATACTCCCGCAAGCCGCTTCCTGCCCTTCGGTGGCCAACGTGTTGAAGACATCAGTGAAAGGTGAGGCGGGGGGGAGGACAGAGAGAAATGGAAAAGTGGAACATTGTCAAGAGAGAAATTAAATGTTATCTTTGCTTCCATTTTAGCTTGACCTAGGTCTGATCCTGGTTATAAAAGGTTCAGCCAGGAGGGTTTGTTTTGATCTTTTTATATTTAGAGATACCTGCAACTAAAATGGAATCCCAAATTCTCCCTGCTCCGTGGAGTATTACTCTGTTTCATAGGAAACAGCTTGACTGCAAGTGTTGTATTATATTTCAGCCTTGGAGAGATGTGTCTATTCTCTCTAGAGCCAAAGCAGATAATTTAATTATATAGTAATTTTAAAGAACAGCCAAGACGAGATCCTTGCTGCAAAGTGACATTTGAATTAATTTCCCCACTGTCAAAGACATTCTCCTGCCACAGATGGAAATAGGAAGCTTCTGTAAACACACGATATGAGCTATCTGCTCTCAGTCTCAAGTCATGCTTCCTTCAGTGGGAATTCATTAAACTCCACAATGCCATCTGTTTTATATACAACACAACTTTGTGACTACACTAACTCAGAAAAACCACATTTGGTGATTCAGGCAAATTGCGATCTTATTTAATTGTGCAGTAGCTCCAACTATGTCCTATAAAAGCTTCAGAAAAAGTTAGTCATACAGTCCTTCTTTATGGAAGTCATGTTAACCATGCATTGCACTTTTTATTAAAGGTCACACGACGGAAAACAAAAACATGGCGTGATTTTTAAACTAAGAATGATATGCAGCCTTTCTTTTTGTGTTTCAATCCCCGACTGATTAATGTCTGGCCTAGTTCAACATAATTAAATCACCTATCATTAATCACGCGTTTTTAAAGTAGCAGTAATATTTCTGGTAGCACTCAGGTCTTAAGGTATACTTAAATTCAGTCTAGCAGGTCATATGATACCAGACTAGCTTCTTCCAGTCTACCACAGGAAATCCTAGCCGCCTTTGAAGATCACCAGAGTCCATATTGTTAATGAAATCCAGACAACCAAGAGGGATCCAAAAAGCAAAGTGGACACAGACTCGTGTTTTACGATGTATCCCTGACTATCAGCTCAAACACACAACATATTTCTACATCTCCAACACTTGTTATTGAATGTAATACTTTTTCCTCAATTAAAATCACAGAGAGACCTTTCAAACCTAACACTTGTTGCACTAATGCTGCCATATAAAATACACTTGAAAGTAGTTTTAACTGTTGGCCTTGCATGTCTAATATTCATTTTTGAGATGTTGTCTTTGACTATTGTCAAAATCCACTAACCTTCTCATACATTGTTCAATGTTTGTCTCTCTTCTTCTACTTCTAATGCTTTTTGACAAGCATGTTTTTAAGTGTTTGTCGTTTCTGTGTGTTGTCTTGCCCGGGCTTTTCCTCTACTCTGTGTTTTCATATTGTCTCTGTCCAAATTCTCTCCCCTCTCGCCTTACCTCCTTTCAACCCTCGACCCCTCCTCTCGCTACAGAGAAGAGGATGAGGAAGAAGAGGAGGAGGAGGAAGGAGAGGAGGAGGAGGAAGGAGAGGAGGAGGAGGAGGATGAGGAAGAGGAAGAGGAAGAGGCAGATGATGAAAGTCATCCAGTCACTGAGTCCTCTAAACAGGGCGCTCACAGGTATTTTAGGTCAAGCTTGATTTCCCATTTCCCTCATATATTATCTCCCAGCCATTTGTAAGTATTGTCCTCCCTCTCTCTTGTATTTTGTCATCCTAGTGCGGCTCCGGCTGTAGCAGACACTCCTTACATGTGTTTGAACTTAATGTGTATGACCAACATCCTCCCTAAAGCCAGTGACCAACCAGGACAGAGAGAATGTCTCAGCAGGACGTCCTCTCCCGTGTCCATTGCTCCTAAAAAGAGGAGCGTTAGTCTCCGGCCACCTGACTGTGTCTCCCGTAGAGTGCCAGTCTCAGCGCAGCCTCGGTGTCAATCGGCCCCGGCCTCAGCCCCCTTTCCTCCCCCTCCCCCCCGACCTCTCCCTCCGTCCCCTGACTTGAACCAGAGCCAGGTGTCTGTCGGGGCTGAGGAGAGTGAGAAGGGCCAGGACAGAGAGAGGCGCTGCAGGTTAGAGGGCAGGAGCCACAGTTCGTCTGCTTGTTTTTTACCGTTACCCCTTTAAAACGTGGTCCTTCCCATCACCGGTGTCTGTGTCCCTCACTGTATCAATCAAATCAAAGCATTTAAGGAATTTAAAGTATTATAAGTCACAGACACTTTCTCTTAGTAATGCATGTTTTTGCAGAGCGCAATAGAAACGTGATAGTCTGGACATAGCAGAGCGTATCCATGATGCATCCAAGCACAAATGATTCTTTATTCTCAGTGCAATGGACAATAATAAGTGATTCAGTTAAAAATAATTGATTTATTTTTAATAAACACTTTTTGTTTAGCCTTCTAAATGGCACAATGAATCAGTAAGACTAAAAGAGATATTGTCTTCTTGCCCCTGTCAAGTTTGTTGTTGTGTTGTCTTCCAGCACACTTACCTTCTGCTGCTGTCTCACTATGTTGCTTTTCTGACTAACATTTAACTGTTTGATCCTTGGAGTGTCTCCCCTGACTGCTACTTTCCTCTTTTTCTCACTTCCATCTCCAGCCTGAGAGATACAAACACCTTTCCTAAATCTTACACAACCAGAAAGCCTACCTGGGCTGAAAGGTAAGGCCAGGTGTAAACAGGTCAAGATTAAAAGAGCAGGGACAAGATATAAAATGTTTTTTTTGTGATTTACATTAAAGGGGAAGTAGTATAATTATCTTCAGTGCTTGTGCACATACAGTTGCAAGAAAAAGTATGTGAACCCTTTGGAATTACGTGGATTTCTGCATAAGTTGGTCATAAAATGGAGGAAGCCACTGCTGTCCAGAAAAAACATTGCTGCACGTTTGAAGTTTGCAAAAGAGCACCTGGATGTTCCACAGCACTACTGGCAAAATATTCTGTGGACAGATGAAACCAAAGTTGAGTTGTTTGGAAGGAACACACAACGCTATGTGTGGAGAAAAAAAGGCACAGCACACCAACATCAAAACCTCATCCCAACTGTGAAGTATGGTGGAGGGAGCATCATGGTTTGGGGCTGCTTTGCTGCCTCAGGGCCTGGACAGATTACCATCGTCGACGGAAAAATGAATTCTCAAGTTTATCAAGACATTTTGCTGGAGAACTTAAGGCCATCCGTCCACCAATTGAAGCTCAACAGAAGATGGGTGATGCAACAGGACAACGACCCAAAGCACAGAAGTAAATCAAAAACAGAATGGCTTCAACAGAAGAAAATACGCCTTCGGGAGTGGCCCAGTCAGAGTCCTGACCTCAACCCAATTGAGATGCTGTGGCATGACCTCAAGAGAGCGATTCACACCAGACATCCCAAGAATATTGCTGAACTGAAACAGTTTTGTAAAGAGGAATGGTCCAAAATTCCTCCTGACCGTTGTGCAGGTCTGATATGCAACTATAGGAAACGTTTGGTTGAGGTTATTGCTGCTAAAGGAGGGTCAACCAGTTATTAAATCCAAGGGTTCACATACTTTTTCCACCCTGCACTGTGAATGTTTACATGGTGTGTTCAATAAAAACATAAAAACATATAATTGTTTGTGTGGTTTTAGCTTAAGCAGACTGTGTTTGTCTATTGTTGTGACTTAGATGAAGATCAGAACACATTTTATGACCAATTTATGCAGAAATCCAGGTAGTTCCAAAGGGTTCACATACTTTTTCTTGCAACTCTACATGTTGGTATCTGCAGTGCCTACCAACCCACAAACTGTGAGATATGTCAACCCAGACAGTTGTTTAGGCTGCCTAAGAAAGACAACATGGGAAACAACAAGCCATCCAGATTCCCCCCCAAGGCTTGAGAACATCCTTTAGAGACAGAAACCGTTTTTTAAACATTAAAGTATGCGAACATGTTCTAGTAGAAACTCAAAACACTATTATGAACTTAACAATCACTTTATTCGTTTCAGTCTGTCTGAAAGCCGAGTTGAACACTAGTGTGTTTTCAATTATTGATTATATCATCTTTGTTAGCTATTTTTATTTGTTGTGAAACTGTTCTAGGACTGAATGTGCAGTTCACTCCGATCCCATTCAACACAACAAGAACAAGGCCTCGGAGAAAAGAGTGGGTTTAGTGAAAAGATGCATTTATAAAAGATAGTCTGCATACACAGACATGGATGAGCAGTACACCTGCAGATACCATTCAGACTTTGATGACACAGCTTTCCTCACAGGAAAGCTATTCAGATCACATGGGAGAGGTGCTTAAGAGCTCTCAACACAGTCATATCTCAGTGTAAACTATTCAGCAGTATGACATTGGAATTCACATCACATCACAGGTTCCTCAAATGTTGTCCATCCTTCTCTGTCTTTCAGTCAAAAATGTCTTATGAGAGAACAAGGCATTTATTTCAACCTTCCTTTCACAGGATCAGTGCCAATGGCAGTCCATACCCTGGCAGGCACCCCCCTCCCACGTCACCCAGCCAGCGCCTCACCAGTTCAGCTGCCTCCACACCAGACTCCAAATCAGTTGACAGGTTGGCATCTGAACTTTTCCACAGCCAACGCAGAATACTAAGTCTTTATGGCTGATTATTGTACAGTAGCTCACCCAATCTGTAAAGCTCTCCTTTGAACTCATTTGAAAATACCTAAATCAGGGGTGTCCAAATTGCAGCCGGCGGACCATTTTGAATCGGCCCTCATCAAATTCAAAATGAAACTTGTGCTTGTCTAATAGTGTACTTCTTAAATATAAATGTAAAATATATTACACAGTAGTATTCGTGTGTTCATAAGACCACTTTTCAAATACATTCAGTCAATTCAAGTTGGAAACATTTTCTAACATATCTTAGTTGATAAGAAAAAAGCCCAATGACTTATATCAAGCTTGAAATACACCCTTCCTATTTCTCCTTATTATAATCAATCTGAGGCCAACACTCACAAGCATCATTGTCCTACATTTGATTGATTACGCTAACTTACAACTGAACTTATGAGGCCGAACCACGCCCCTTAGCTGTGATATAATGAGCATATACCACGGCCTGTCGTGAGCTATTGCTTAAATATACCTCTAGTGAGCGGCCCAGCCCTCCGTATATTTGTATGTATGTGGCCCTCGGTGAAAAAAGTTTGGACATCCCTGACCTTAATCAGAACTCAAACCAATCACTTATTGTTTGCTGATGTTATCACATATATCCTTTTTCCTTTAGACCTGCTTTAGGGGGCTTGCTAACGTCTTCACATAGACAGCATCAGGAGTCTCTGTCTGCGGAAAGAGAGCGAAGACGTTTGGAAAGAGAAGAGCGACTGCAGAGAATCGAAAGAGAAGAGAGGAACCGCTTCAAGTTAGTCTCCATAGTTACCATATGCAGCTCTACAGCCAATAAATGTTGGAACAAATCATCATGAAAAATGCACAAATCTCAAGTCTTTTAAATGCTTGAGTGCCATTTTTTGTGAGGATCATTGGAAATACTAAATCAAGGCACAGGCATTTGTTGTTTTGTCCTACCTTTTTATGATTTAATTTCCATCATTTTTAGTAGAGCAATTTAAATAATGTATTCATGCACACAGTGAATATCCTAAATCCTTGCTCCGTGTCTGTGTTTCTTTCTCAGTAAAGATTATGTAGAGAAGAGGGAAGAAGCAAGACACGCCAGAGAGGAGAGGTGAGTTTCTAGAGTGCATGGGTTCACATGGATCACATAGTAAGGCTGCACTTGTGAAGGTAGATCAAACAGATCAAGAGGCCCGTAAATGCTTTGAGATCCTATTTAAAAATTGACAGCAGATGGAAAGCTTCTGTCTTATTTATAGGTGTCAGAGCCCCTTAAGGCCTGCTCACTATTAAGACGTCCCGAAGTTGACTGGACAAGTGTGTAATTGGGGTTTGGCATGGATGTGCTCCAGTTATCTCCCTCTGAGCATGTCTGAGTGTGAGTGTGAGCACTCTATGATTTATAGCTCATTCTTATGCCCTTACCTTTTTCAACCCTGTAAAGAATGTGAGATCATTTAACACCAGCCAAAAATGTTGGACAGCACTTTGGCAACGGAGGATCTCCTTTTTAATCATTTGACTCCCTGAGTCATCAAAAATAAATCATCATAAATTAAATGCTTCATAATAATCTTTGGAGTGTGTGAATAAGAGAGGAATAAGACAAACATATGTCAAAAGCACACATATAGGCTATAACTCTTTGAATCCTGAATTCATTTTTCATCACACATGCACATATCTTTAAAGTGTTATCTTTACAGAGGATTTTTCAGGGCAATTTATCAATGTATTTAAATTCCTGTTACAGAATGGGCATGGTATACATTTTTGTTCCAGCCCTAAAAGATATGTTCAGAGATGTTAACTTTTAGAATAAAGCTTTATTGCAGTTCAATCTCTAAATGTTATATATTTGTATTTGTACAATGCAATTTACTATAGTTTCAATAAAGTTCCATTTTGTCCCTATTTGGTCCATTACAACTAATAATACATGGTTATTAAAATATACTGTACAGCCTTCAGTATCATAAAACCACAATACACCCCAAATATAAAAAGTACAATACAACACACAATATAACCATCCACTTAAAGGTGGGGTAGGTAATTTTGGAGAAACCAGCTCGAGTGCGCTAGAATTTGAAAATACACAGCCGGAAAAGATCTGCCACTTCCTTACAGAGCCCCTCCTCCAACACACACACACACAACACCGCACACACCGACCCGTCGTCGTCCCGTTTCAAGTAGAAATAGTTAGTCCCATTAATGAGTGTGTACAGTCCGGTCTCGGTAAGGAGGGTCAGGAGAGGAGCCGACACTCGAGTCTCGGCGCGCAGTCTCGTCAGTCGCCGAACCGTGTTGTGACCGCTTAGTTTCGTCTGGGTGTAGTCTCACACAAATACTTTTGTACTAATTGGAGGAGTCAGTCGCTCCCCGGTCTCACAGTGGGAGTAGGGCACTGGGGTGGAGAAACATTCCCCTGAATGACGACTTCTGCTCACGTCGTCATTAGCTGTACTGCATGGACGACCGAGGTTACTAAAGGATACCAAACATCTTTTTTAATAGAATTGAAACACTTTTCCTAAGGTGATTGATCAGGGCCATTAAGAAATTGGGTCTGTGTGTGTCGACACTAAAACGACTTACTCATACGGCTGTGGAAGAAAAGTTTGAACCTCCGGCTACCGGACGTGGGACCGACCATAGTGTGTTGTTACTGAATAGATAGAGGACACACGTGGACACATGTCAATAGCCCCTCCCAAACTCCTTACAGGTTAACTGTGGTGCCCCACTCGTGTTTGTCTATCCACCCGAAATTACTCCGAAAAATTTCACAGTAATGTAGTTGTACCTACAAGCTCGACGACGAATCTACTCTAGAAACAACTAGCAGAGGGATTCCGTTGGTGTTTTAGTTTAGTGAGAATCTAAAAGAAGTGGACAATAAATTTCCAGGGTCACCGGGAAAGAGGACTAGTATAAAAGGTAACAACTCCATATTCAATCTTTAAGGTTAGCGTAACCAAAGAAGTATGTCGTAGAGACATTTCATACACATAAGTGAGTCCAAAGTGAGAGACGAGGATTGCCGACAACCTCGAGGCCGGGGGAGGGACACTCGGGTCACACCGAGCTACGGTGCCCCGTCCCCGTCCGCGCGCCTCCGCTGCCAAAAGGCCCAGCCGCTAGTCGCTCTTGTTCCTTTGAGTAGGACTCGTTGTTTTACACACACACACACACACACACACACACACACACACACACACACACACACACACACACACACACACACACACACACACACAGGCATGCACTCATGCATCCACCCACTCACACACTCTCACGCACCATGCACAGACATCAGCTGCACCTGGGAATTTTGGCTTATCTACCGCATATTCACAATGTTCATGCCCCTCTAGAGAAGAGGAGGGGGAAAATATATGACAGAATCTGCAGGCTCTCATCATAACCAGTCTGAAGAAACATGGCTCAAGGAGATTAGATCTTACTCTCAATAAGCCTTTTTAAGTCATGTATCTAGTTTTCGGTCAAAGATTGAACTCTGCCTGTCCATTTGAAGTTTTTCCCCAAAATTTCAACAGTTGAAAACACACGGTGTGTCAGCTGTAGCAGCCCAGCTACTCATACGTCTTGGAACTTGATTAGCACAAGCATCACCTTTTCTCACTTTTGAAAGAGAACGTTCTCTTAGGTATTACCCCCTATACAAGACAGCTTCTGCCAAGAAATAGTCAAACAGGCCTTCCAAAAATGTTCCATTTCGATGTGTTCACATGTTTATACTGCTATGCTTCCACCCCCCATGTCAGCCAATGTATCACCTACAGTTTCAGTGAGTTCAAGCTGAGCTCATCCTGTTGCTGTGGTCTTTTGTGTGCATGCATTAACTCTCTAAGGATGGCCACTGAGATGCTGTTAAAATAAAAAGGCTCCATATTTAAAGGCAGCTTTTGTCTGTTTCACTTCTTTCCAGCAGTGTTTGACCCCCTTCCCCCATTTCCTACTTTAACAGAAGCCCTACACAGTTATGGCCCCCAATAGGGACCCCTTGGCTCTTATTATGTTTTTATTTATGTATCCTGTTATAGATGGAAGTCATGTCAGCATACAGTGAGGTACTCAACTCAAATATTTTTCCTACAGTTGTGTCTTCTGACTTGAGTGGACCCTTTTTCTTTTTTTTGTCTTTTCCCAATTTTTTGGTTGATCCAGCAACTATAGTTTAGGACGTAATCATGATGGGCAGAGGAATATTAATGTTATTGTGTGCTCGTTTATACATTATGACGTGACAACCACAGCAAATTCTTTAAAGAATCCACGGTAACCCTAACCCGACCCTGTTTGACAAGGTCCTCTTTTCAAACATGAGGGATGGGCTGAAATCATTATGTCAGAGTACACAGGGAGCTTCGGGCAAGTAGGGGCAGGTGTATGTCGTATTAGACTTGGCTCTCGACCGCTCTTGCTCTCTCTCAACCCGTAACCAATATAGTAGATGATGGTAAAAAAAAAAAAAAAAAAAAAAAAAAGAATGAAAAATGATTTGCTCGATGGGAACAACATCTTTGGTTCTTTTGCTTACTAGTTAATGAGAGTTACTTTTAATTAAGAGTTTCGTACACTTATTGAACGCACTATCAGAACAGACCCAACAGAAAAGTTAAACACCGTTATATGTTTTGTAACTGGAATAACCTGGTCTACTGNAAACGCACACATGACCAATGAGGGCACGAGATAAGTTTGTGCACAGATGGAAGGCTGACAGGCAGGTAGGCCATCCAGTTATTTTAGCCGGGCCGGCTAAAATGATTGGTCGTGCTTTTTACAGCGCCACGGCTTCCACAGATGACATTTTTTTATGGATTTTTTGTCAAAGCACTTCAGATATTCATTGCTATCGGGATGTTAAGAGCATTCCATGGAATATACTGTAACAGAAAGTGTATCTCGAGCCGGTTTCTCAAACTTACCTACCCCACCTTTAAGTTATTTGTTACAATTAGCAAAAAATGTGTACGTTTGCATGTATGTTTCTATCAGACTATACCAAAACTATTAAATGGCTGAGGTGAAAGCTTTTACAACCAAAGAGCATGCATCTAAACGAAGACGTCTGAAGGCTATATTTAATCATTGCAGGTACAAGGCCGTGGAGAGGCTAGCCTCAGAGGAGTTTGAGCGGGAGCGCCCCAGGGTGCCAACAAGAGGACGAACAGAGATCACGTTGTGTTTGAGTCCCAACCCTGTGAGCCGCTCTGTGTCCCGCTGTACCACTCCTTCGTCTATCATCTCACAGGAAGACACTGCACAACAAACGTCAGGTAACTGGTGTTTGGTACCGTTTATTCATCATCATTACCAGAGTTATACAAGCATGGCGGACACAGTGCACCTGTCACACACACTGGGCTTGGCAACACTTGATGATTTTCATAAAGAAATTAGATGCAGCTGCATTACACTCTAGAAACATGTGTTCAATGTTATTTATGTTATTTATTTTCTACGCTTTTGTATTTGTAATTATTTGCTTGACATGCTGCTGTATTTAAAATAATCAATAAAGTATATCTTATCTTAAATACAAATCAAAATGTATTAACACATTAAACAGGGATAGAGTAGGAAGGTAGATACAGGTATTTTGATGTTGTTTGCATGTGTGTGCTGATGGAGATAACCTCATTGATGTTAGGATCTAAAGTGCTTGTATCTTTCAATATTACATTAATTTGTTTTTTCTAAAACATATTTATTTGTTAACAACTTAAACAAAGCTTGAATTGAACCTCTCTCTTTCTCAGCTACACAGCTTGTGTTTTACAGAGTGTGTACGTTCTATGGTCATTAGCCATGATAACAGAATTTGATGATTGCTTTGTGAACTATTTCTACAGTCTGGAAATGCAAAGTCTCTCGGTGCAATTAAGGACATGTCAGGAAGCAATTTAAAACCGTTTCATTATAAACAAAAACATGTTCTGATCAGATAATATAAAGGCACATAACTGTACCTCGAGTAACATTGTTTTCCACATTGTTTGGATTTCTCTTCCAGGAACCAAACGTATCTCAGAGCCAAACCTTGACCCGCAAAGCAGACCCGAAAGTCTAGCGCCAGAGTTAACAGTACCAGAACCTCCCCCCGAGCCAGACACCCAGCAGACTGAGAAAGAGTCGCCTGCAGAGACAGAGGATGTTGAAGAGACTGAGTCCCAACAGAATGTTGAGCCAGAGTCGGCGTCAGATGAACAGTCAGGAATAGAGACAGAAAAGAGGCCGGAGCAGGAGAAGCTTGAGGAGCAGACGCAGTGTGTGGATGAGGTAGAAGCAGAAGAGGAAGTGAAGGAAGTGGAGGTCGTAGATGTAGCAGAGGAGGGACAACCAGAGGTGGAGGTGAATGTGGAGGAAGAGCAGCCGACGGAGAGGGATGTAGAAGACAGTGTACTGCTGAGTGAGAAGGAGAGACAGAACGAGGAAGTGAATGAAAAGGACAACTGCTCCGCATCCAGCATCTCCTCCACAAGTAGCACTCTGGAGAGGGAGGAGCGGGAGGAGAAACTCACCAACGACATCGAAGCAGGTATGTTCCATGCTGATTTCAGAATCAGAATACCTTTATTCGTCCCGCAGAGGGGACATTTACATTTGTCACAGCAGAACAGAGCCAAAGACAGCTTAATGTTAACCAAGAAGCATGCATTAAAAAATATTAAAGACAACAAAATTAAAAATAATTACACAATTTACAAAATACACATCCTGTGACAGTCCTGAAGATATCAGAATCAGAAACAGGTTTATTACCAGATAGGTTTACACATACGAGGAATTTGACTTGGTGTCGTGGTGCATACATAAAAGTAAAGGAAGAATTCAAAACACAGGTAGAGAACTAGAAAAATATTTATAATAATACAAAATATAGTAAAATATAACAGTATTTACATTGGAATGGAATAAAATATGGAATACAAATCGGCAGTAATAAAAAAAAAAACGAAAACAGATATTGTTGTACATTGTGTGCATTAATGTAATGCATAGCAGCATATAGCAGCCAGGTATATATTGCACAGTTATTAACGTCACATTTTATTCACTTACTATCATAATCGGCTACCTATATTTCTCCCATTTTCTTAAATGTGTGTCTGTATCAACAGGCCAGTGGACCCAGTGCATTAAAGACGCAGATGTGAACGACCAGTGCAACAAAATACTCAACAGCAAGCGCTTCATGCTGGACATGCTCTACGCTCAGGCCACAACCAGCAAGGATGAAGAGAATGTAGCAGAAACGGAGAAAGAGAACTGTAAATGTGAGAAGGAGGCAGAGGTGGGCGACTCCTCTGTGGCTAGCCTGGCCAGCAGGATCTCCACACTGGAGGCTCACAGACAGGCCAGGGAGGAAAACGTGAAGAAAATGGAGGTGGGGCATCTGGACAACCAGGGCAATGTGCGAGCAGTGGCAGAGAAGTTTGGCGATCTGGTCAAAGGCCTGACATGTCCTCCGGAGGTGGAGGCCTCTAAAGAGCAGCAGCAGACAGACAAATCATCAACGGCTGCCACGGCAACCGCACCCCCCAAGAAAGAGTCGGACTATATTTGGGATCAGCTGATGGCCGAACCCCGGGAGCTGCGCATCAAAGAGATGGACTTCACGGACCTGAGGGACGAGGACGACATGGACATTTTAGATATGGACAGTCTGATGGGCTCAAGTGACGGCC